ATAAAAAATCTTTTATTCGTTTGTTTGCCTTTTTTTCTCATGTCTTCATTCGCCTCAGTAAATCGCATATTTTTTTAGGGCTTGTTTAGCGTGGCGGTAATTTGAAGGTTGTTGTTAAGTTCTGTGTGCTTTGCCAGAAATGTTAGCATGTTGATGATGTTTAGCGTTACAGTGATTTGAGTCATTCGGTATGTTTCGTGAATGCCTACCTCCCTCCATCAGAGAGCTAACAGCGTGCCAGTCGCCTTTTTTGCTTTTCAATACTGTTTTTTTGTGTGCGAGCGTGTGCAGGCCTCACTAGATAAAGCTCATTTACACAGTTCAGAGTTTTGGGCTATGCCTCTTAGGCAGTGTTTTTACCGCCTCTAACGTTAGATTACACCACATTACACATGAATAGCACACAAGCGCGTGCGGGAGATTTGCACTTGCTTGTATCCTCCCAAATTTCCTTATGTTTTACCAAGTGCTGTTGTGTTTACATTTTTAAAGCCGTGTAGCTTAGCATGGGAAACAGGCCCTGGAAATGTGATTTAGTCATGCTCGCATATTTTGTGTTTTTGTACAAGGCCCAAAAACTCCCCCTCAGCCTCAAGCTTAGGCAAATGAACTTCGCTCGTTTCTTTAAGAAAATTTGGTAAGTTTGAAATGTGAAATGATGAAATTCATATGAAAGTGCGGTCGTTTGAGTAGAGGTGAAAACATCTTTTTTTTGTCTTTAAGGAAGCAAAAGATATGAATACTTTTAAGTTACAATCTTTTTTTACATTTCTGATCTGAAAGATTGTATTGTGTTGACGACTTCTAGAATCCTTCCTTTTTTTGATCTTTGTCAGATAGGACAATCTCTTCCACTTCAAAACGTTGCATATTGGAGAGGCCGCTGCTTTGTGATTGAATTTCCATGCGGGCTTCAGTGTTTGCAGTTTTAAAATTACACTGTATAATTATAATAGTAATATGATATTACTTTAATGTCTATAATATGCGTTCCTGTGGCATCATGTTCCATACAAGTTCTCATTTTTATAATTGAGCTTTTGATTTGGTTCAAAGCAGTTCAACGAATCTTTCACAATTGAATGTCCAAAATAATTAGAAACAAAAGTAAAGCCAGATTCAGAGATGCAAGTTTAGGGAAAATTCAGTCATTAGATTTAAGGTGCAGTTGAATAACTGAAAAACGATTCAGGAAGCAAACACATTGGTACAAGACAGTAAATAATTGAACTAATTGGACCGCCTCTTGACGAGTCAAATGACTGCCCCAAATCTGAACTGATGCAATGGGTCAGCTCTCTAAGACGAGAGTATGCTTCGTGTTTAAGAGAATTATGAGAGTGCTAACCTCACACACACACACGCCATAGATAGATGTTGCCACAGGCACCTTAAGTGGATTACAACTTTTAAAGAGTATGTGTGTGATTTGAAGCTTCCGCTGTTTTGGTGCCCTGTGTGTGTGATTGCATCAGTTTAATGAAGTCTTTTTTTTCCTTGCATTTCTGTTGAATTTCTCAGAATATGTTTGGGCCCTAGAGATCTCTAGGTTAAAATGTTTAGTGTGACAGCAGGAAAATGTAATTTTAAGAGCACATTAATAGAATGTGCAATAAATGACAGTTGATTAAGAGTTTTTTTTTGCTCAGATCAACGGTTTTAAGCATAAGACTGACGTGCTGATCACATGACCTCTCCTAGTTCCTCTGCCAAACCCTTTCTCTCCGTCCTCTCTCTCACCCTTCATCTTTCCTACTCTCATTCAACACAGATTAAGTTTTCCCCCTCCTCGTCTCTTTTTACCTTCTCCTCCCTCCTCGCCCCTGTCCTCCACCATGTGTCAGGTGTGTGTACATTTGCTGCCATCATGAATAATGAATATATTTTCTGTCTCCGTCTTATTTTTGGCAGATGTTGAAATGTGCTGCATGATTTTTTTTTTGCTGTTTTGTTTTTTCCTTCCTTTTTGTGTGTGTTGGATAGTGATGAATGCATCTTCATTTTAATATGTACTGTTTGTGGAAAGAAACGGCACTGTAATCCTGTCCTCCAGCACAGAAACACGCCGCTGCCAATCTTTTATTTTTCTCCTCCTATCCCCACACCCCACTCCCCCTCCCCCCGCGACCACTGCTCAGGGCAAGACAGCGCAGCGTTTGATAAGTACACGCGCTCTATGTGACACCAGAAATCCCCGTCAGTGTTGTTTCAGTAGATACATGCAGTTCAGTAAGAACGTGCACTCAGTGCTGTGAGCTTGCGAATGAAGGCAGAACTTTTACAGTTTCCACAGAACTGTTTTTTGTTCAGTTCGAACAATGAAGTACTGCTGCTTTGATTTTTGATCAGTTTGTAATTTGAGTACAATTCTGATGTTTTGTTGTAGAAAAGTTCAGTGATTGACAGGAGAAGTGTTCAGTAGTTTACATCTGAATCCTGAATTTTACAGTGAAACAGTTCAGCAGTTTATATTTGTGACCCTGGAGCACAAAACCAGTCTTAAGTCGCTGGGGTATATTTGTAGCAATAGCCAAAAATACATTGTATGGGTCAACATTATTGATTTTTCTTTTATGCCAAAAATCATTAGGATATTAAGTAAAGATCATATTCCATGAAGATATTTTGTAAATTTCCTACTGTAAATATATTAAAACTTCATTTTTGATTAGTAATATGCATTGCTAAGAACTTCATTTGGACAACTTTAAAGGCGATTTTCTCAATATTTTGATTTTTTTGCACCCTCAGATTCCAGATTTTCAAATAGTTGTATCTCGGCCAAATATTATCCTATCCTAACAAACCAGACATCAATGGAAAGCTTCTTTATTCAACTGTGTATAAATCTTAATTTCAGAAAATTGACCCTTATGACTGGTTTTGTGGTCCAGGGTCACATTTGAACAGTATAGTTTACATTAGAACAGTTTACCAGTTTACATTCGAGAGAATTAAGCAGTTTACCATGGTACTGTTCAGCAGTTTATGTTTAAATGGAATAATTCAGTTTATATTTAATCAGTTCAGTAGTTTATATTTTAACAGTAGTTTACAACAGAACAGTTAGCAGTTTACATTTTTTTTTTAAATCAAGCCATTTTTGAAACAGTTTTCAAAAGTACAGTTCAGCAGTTTGTTTAAACAAGTTTAGTTTACTTAATTCAGTAATTAATAAATGAACACTATAGTTTACGATCAAACAGTTTAGCAGTTTACATGTAAACAATTAAGCAGTTTTTGAAACAGTTTACAGTAGTGCAGTTCAGCAGTTGATTGTTTAAAACAAACAGTTCAGTTTAGATATTAAGTAGTTTATATTTGAACAGTATTGTTGAAAAGAGAACAGTTTAGAAATTTATGTTTAAAAAGGTTTTGAAACATTTCAGCAGTTTATATCTGAGGCATTTATATCTGAGTCAGTCGTTTATATTTTTATCAGTTACCAATGCAACAGTTCAGTATATCTGAAGAGAACAGTTCAGCAGTTTATATTTGAACATCCCAACAGTTCAGTAGTTTACAGGGGAACAGTTCAGTAATTTACAGGGGAATACTTCATTAGTTTTCAGTGAATACTTTAGCAAGTGTGGCAAGTTTAGCAAATTGAACAGTGAGTCTTAAGTGTTTTTTGACTGTAAAACAGATAGATGCTTTAGAATCAACCCACCTCACAGAGGTGGAGGATGAATGAAATAACAGCCATGGTTCCTGGGAATTTAAACGTGTCTTGGTGTGTCAGTGCTACTGTTTTCCTCCCGCCGTAAATGTGCCACAGGGTACTGTTAGCCTAAAGAGCGCTCCTAAATGGCTGTTGTCTTCTAATTGCTTTAATAGCACCTGGCCGGTAATCCCAGGTAATTATTGAGCTGAAATTAGACCGCTACTTCAAACATCTCTTAAAAGGAGCAAAGACTGCCTCAGGAACTTACAGCTCTCTTATCATGCATGCCGGAAAAGTGACATGGATAAGTGGTTGCGGGTTTTGCATTTGTGTGGAGCTTAACGTGTTCTTCCCCACCCCCATGTGTGTATGCATGCTGGGAATACTTGTTTAGTCCATTCAGTTCATCACACTTAGTTTCTGCTCTGGATAAATCACTGTTGTTGATTTCTGATTGAATATGAGACCCTTTAATAAGGGGAATATGCTTTTCATAATTAAATGGTTGAAGCGAGACTCTTGAATCCTAGTTTGATGTCACTTAACAGATTGTGCCAGTCACAAAAGGTACAACAGTAAAATAAAAGGAAGAATAAAACAAAATGAGCTTTGCTTATCAGTTATGTTCTACATTAAATGAGGTTTAGACTATGTAAATGTTCATGACAGCAAATGATGTAAAAACATTCCTAATAACTATTGTTCATTGTTGGGAATTTGTTTGTATTGATCTGTGTTTACTGTTGTGGCGGAATCCTGAGGATTGTTATAAGTCTGTTTGTGTGTGTGTGTGTGTGTGTGTGTGTGTGTGTGTGTGTGTGTGTGGGTGTGTGTTGATGTTCTTGATTGGAATTTAAGGACTTTTGAAGAAAGGGACAATAAAGGGTTGTATGTGTGTGTGGGATAGAGAAAATTTGTCTGTATTTGAAAAAATGGTCAAAACGTGGGTTAAATGAGTTATTAATTTAGTGTACAGTTCATGTTTCCGTATAATTACAAGAAGTTGTGTTTCTCTAATTCGTTTCCCTTGTCTGCATACGTTATGCAACACATTCCTATTGTGTATAATGAAAATAAAAAAGTTTTTCTTTTTTTTTTTATCTTGTATATTTAATATATTTGTAATATATTTTAGAACATATTTCTAGTAGTGTTTTGATAAATAAATAGTCTGTGAGATGTATTGATCCAGACTTCTGAGTATGTTCATTTCCAAGTCAAAGCTGACATGTCATTAATTTTTTTCTCTGCTATTGAGATTAATAATTTTAATCTCAATAGCACATATTAATCTCTCTTTTTCTACATCCTTCCCTCTCTTTCTCCTTCTCTATAGCCCAGTCCAATTCCTAGTCCTGTTCTTGGTGGGAAGCCAAATGCAAGTCAGTCCCTGTTGGCCTGGTGCCGTGAGGTCACGAAAAACTATAGAGGCGTCAAAATCACCAACTTCACCACTTCCTGGAGAAATGGACTAGCATTCTGTGCCCTGTTACACTACTTCAGACCCAACTTAATGTAAGCCATGCACATTCATGACAATACACACTTTTATACAAGCATCATTACACACAGGAAGTGCTTCTTGAGGTTGTTCAGTCAGCAGTACCCATGTTTAGAGCATGGGGTGCTGACTCAACTTACCCCACGTTAAAGGTATACCTCTCCCAAAAATGAAAATTGTAATATTGTCTTTTGTGTTTCACATAAGAAAGAAAGTCATAGAGGTTTGGAAGGTGAGTGAATGATTTTCAGTTGTTGCCTTTGATGATGCCTTTGAATCATCAGATTACTCAATAACGTCTTTATAATTAATAGCGACAGCCCTAAACTGTATATATACACAACTCTCTTAATTTACCTCTCTCTCTCCCCTTCTGTGAGAGTCTCACTTTGTGTGTGGGGTCTAATATGGTTTATTATGGAGAGTTTTTAATCCCTCTGTCTTATTTCCGAACATTTCTGTGTCTGGTCTCATCAGGAATGACTCAAATCCTCCTTAATTACTACACTTACAGCAGATTCATCACAGTGCTGACAGCGCCACGGCCAACCACCCTCTGGGTTTAGCATATGCTAAAGTATCAGGAATCTGGCCGCCATCTATTTAAAGGTGCAGTAGGAGATCTTGGAAAATGCTAACTTTAGCCTGATAGCACTGAAAGCGAACGTCCCACCCTCCCTGCAATTGCCGTCCAAAGCATATTGACTGATTTATTATCTTTGATATTTTTACGAAACATTTACATTTATTGACAACGTTTTTGAAATTTTCTCTGCACCTTTCACTCGCACTATTCACACAACCTGAGAGACAACCTGCTGTTTGCTTCATGCATTATCATATAGTGCATGAGTGATCCGTGACCATTATTCCAGAAAAAAAGTAAATTTCTTCATCTCTGCAATGAATTTTCTGTTGCTGTAACCAAGAATGCAGACAGAAGTATTAACTAATAATATTGTAGTATACTTTTCAAGATAGAATCAAACTGAATAAAATGTGCAGTATTACCAGCTTAATATGCAGTTGAACTAAAAATATGGCTTGTTACAGAAGTGAAGTGTGTTTATAAATGCTGTTTCATGTAGAGAAAGTCCTCAGAGGGCTTTTAAAGCACATTGTGCCCCAGGGGACAGTACACAGCCCACATCAAGGTTTGAATGACATGTAGTGAATGCTGAGGCTTATGATATAAGCAAAATGAAGGATATTGTCCATTTTTAGAGTAGCCCGCTACTGTTTCCCCTGCTGAAGAGGAAAGACCCCAGGCACACAGTGGGTAGTGTGATGGAGAATGAGAGATGAAACGTTTAATATGTTGAGTGGTTGAGTAAAGGTTTTGTGTGTGTGTGTGTGTGTGTGTGTGTGTGTGTGTGTGTGTGTGTGTGTGTGTTTCTTTTTGCGTGCACGCTTGCACACATGCACACTCTATTAGTTGTGTTGATTGCAGAGCTGTGAAATTGCATGTTACAGCCATTACATGAGACGCATATTTAAAGCTAACTTTCTCTCTCTTGCTGTTCTTTTCTCCCTCCTAGTGACTACAAGGCTCTCAATCCTCAAGATATTAAAGAAAACAACAAAAAGGTAAATGCTACACACTCCCTTCCTCTCTTCGTTTGTTTGTGCATCAGTAATCCTCCTCATAGGTGATTTATTTTGTTATAACTCTGATTCACTCCCACCCAGCGTTCTCTAATTGCCACTTTCAGAACGCGGCTCCCCTGCTGACACTGATGGAAAGAGTGTGTGTGTTTGTGCGTGTTTGTGTGGATGAAGGAAGTCACCTGGGAGTCGTAAGATAGCATCATAATTCATAAACATGCTATAAATGAACTTTACAGGCTTCTCCACAGAGGGAGAAGGGAAGAGAGGAGAGAGTTAATCACATACTTTGGACCAAGGAGGTCCAAACAGAAGACACACACACAAACTTGTAAATATACTTGACCTCCCATTAACTTCTGTTGTTTTAAATTAAGCACTTATAATACTTATAATCGCTACACCAAACCCAAGCCCTTATAGACTTTTGAAATATTATTATTATTTATTTTTAATTTTTTAACAGTAGTTTTATATGGACACAGTAATTGCATTTTGATCCACACCAAATCAGCATATTAGAATGATTTCTGAACGATCATGTGACACTGGATGGAACCTTTATAAAAAAAGACCGAATCTGTTGCACTGCACCCCCTCCCATTCCTCCTTTTTTCTTTTACTTTCTTTTAGTCACTTTCTCCCTCTTTCTCCCGTTATTGTTTTACATTATACCTTGTTCCATCCATTCAGGAATTTTCAGTGGGATGTGCACGACGAATGAGTTTTGAGAGAGTGAGGAAGGTGTGAATATTGCTGTCAGCTCTCAAATGCCTGTTTAAATAAACCACCAGGTGGCTGTGCCAACAAGGATTACTCCAAGCATCTCTCTTCCTCTCTCTCAAAACACACACACACACACACACACACAATGCACAGCAGCGCACGATACAGAGCAAATGCATATTTGCTGAAGAGTTGCTTCCTGGATTCGTTTGGAATCTATTTGGATTTGTGGAAGTATAAAACTTAATTCCTCTGTAATTCCGCTCCAATGAACGATCACTGTATTCTGGAGCGCTGCAGATTAAGTCTTATTTCAGCCCTCAGATGAACTCCATTTAGACTTTATTAGGTGTATTTAATGTGCTCCTCACTCTCTCCTTTCCCTGTATTCCTTTCATCCATCATCACTTTACCCTACACTCAGTACCTGCAGTCACTTCCTGAGTTCATTTCCTGCTCTCTCTCGTTTTGGGACTATCATATACACAGTTTTTCTCTCTCCAACACAGTGAAGAGTGCGTCCTTTCGCTGTCTTTCAACAATAAATGTCTATCCCAAGATGAGGAGGTTAAGAGCACTCTCTATACAGCCCCAAACACACACATTTATATAAACTGCATTCATTTCCATTTGATAGAATCAGCGCGACCCTCTCTGGCCCAGCCGTGATTGCAATAATCTCCATTGAAATATGACAGATAAGAGCAATCAATAGCAGAGGGGAGAGGAGAGGATGGTTTGGTCATACAGGCAGTGAAAATAATTATTTTCTGTGTGTGTGTCTAGAGAGAGACCAGCAGTAATTTCCCATGATATCTGATCTGTGCACGCACGTGTGCGCGTGCGTGTATGTGTTCCACGATAAATGTGCGGACAGGGGGGAAAAGCCCCTCTGGCTGTGTGTGTGACTGACAGCGATGGATACCTGTCAATCATTCAGCGATGTCATTCACAAAACAAAATGCTTTTCATTGTCCATTTAGTGTGGGGGAGGGGCTGACCGTCCTGAGCAGGAAGGGAAAGTCTTAAACACACAATTACACAGTTCACACGGGTTATTAGTGCCGCTGCATCATTTATACACAGATAGAGAGCAAACAGCACATTACTGTCAGTTGAATAAATGGCTTTTGTAGTTATTAATGCAGTACATCAGAAGCATGTTTTTGGGCTTAATTCATCTGGATGTGTTTGGTAACACACACTTGCACACAAACTGCTGTTTACATGGTATATTTATTTTAATCAAGCATGATTTGTTGTTTTGAAGACTAAAGCAATGAGACACAGAGACACCCTTCCTTTTTTTCCCTCTCCCAGGCAGCTTGATGCTCTCTGTAAATAAAAATTGATACATACACTCTTCATAATCTATGTAAAAATTTAAATAATGATAATTTAATTACTTTAATAATAAATATAAATAAATATTATTATATATAATTTTATCATTTGATTCACTATGTATATTTCCTTATCCTTTATTATTATTATATGTTTATACACTACCGTTAAAAGTTTGGGATCAGTACGATTTTTTTTTAAATTTTTTATTTTTAATTTTTTTTATAAATTAATGCTATTATTCAGTAAAAACATGTTAAATTGATCAAAGTTAACAGTAAATACGTTTATAATGATTTATAATGTCTCTGTTTCAAATAAATGCTGTTCTTTTGAATTTGGTGTTCATCGAAATATCCTGGAAAAATGTAACACAAATTTCAGTTTTCAACATTGATAGTAAGAAGAAATGTTTCTTCAGCACTAAATTTGTGTTTTCAGAGAATAATTTCTGAAGGATCATGTGACACTGGAGTAATGACTACTGAAAATTTGGCTTTATCACAGAAATAAATTAAATATTTAATTTAATATTAAAACATAAAACATGTTATTTTAAATTGCAATAATAATTTATAGTTTTACTGTTTTTACTGTATTTTTTTATTTTAAAAAAATGCAGCCTTGCTGAGCATATAGGAGATTTCTTTCATGTTTCATTTATACTCTCCGGTCACAAACTGTTTTGCTTTTCTTTCTTTTTTTTATTTCACATATGAAAGATACTATTTAGATCTGGGCCACATTCAGCTGCAGTGTGAATGTAGCTCAAGTTTAAGAATCTCCAGCAGACACTTTAGTTTCATTCATTCCACCAATTATACACTCTTTCTTTAGAGCTAAACCCCAAACAACATATACCTGCAGACTTTTTTTGTTTTCCCACCCTTATTAATTCCCCTTTTTTCTATTCAGCTGCCTGTACCTTACATTTCCCTCACTCTGCAAAGCTCTGCACCACCATCGCTATTGTTAGCCTGCAGCAAACGAGAAGGCACGAGAGAAAGAAAGATGTGATTAATTGTAAATTGAGAATCGGCTTACCTTTGATTATCCCTCCCCACCCTTTCTCTTGCTTTCTCTCTCTCTCACTCATGCCAATAAAGGGGACAAACCTGATAAAGTCAGTAGATGGGTAAATGGCAGAGGTTGAGACAATAGTCAACACTTGTCAACAGAGTGAAATTCTCTCGGCCATCAGCTCGACTCTGATAGCAGCTCTGATAAAGCGAATCAGGGGGAGGGCGAGACAGAAGGTTAATTTGTAGGCTTTTCTTAATACTGTTGTATTCTCAAATTCTTAAGAGAAAGAGAAAGTAACTTTTCTTTCATTCGTTCGGTGGATTATCGCGATAATGTCAGCCAGTTTACTTTCACTTCTTCCTTCCGTTTCTCTCTCTCTCCCTCTATCTCCTGATCAGGGATTGAGTTTGGCTGTTTGATTATCTGCCTGTTCTCCTCAACCGGACAAATCAGTGCAATTATACTCACTGCTGAGAGAGAGAGAGAGAGAGAGAGTGACGGAAAGGGGGAGAAAGAGAGAGAGAGAAAGTGAGAGAGATGGAAGGAGGGCGAGTGGGAGATGTATGCGATAAGACTGAGGCAGGATTAGTTTAGTGTTTCTTGGTATCGTGCTCTCTTATCATGGAGAACCATCCTTGACATTAGCTGTCACCACCTGCCGCATCCTACTGATCCCAGCTTGTCTTATCCCAAATCTAATTCCTGCATGCACCCTACACCCTAACTGTCCCTCCCTCCCATCACCCTGCAAACCCTGTTCTTCCCTTTCACTCTTTACCCTGTGTTCCCTTTTTCCTTCATCCCATACTGTACGTTGACCTTCTGTCCCACTCTACAGCCTATAGTTTACCCTTTTACCCTGCACCCAACCATTAATTTTCACCCCTCACCCTCCACCGTTTGTCCCTTTCACCTTTATTTCAACTAATGCACTACCTATCCCACCTCATATTTATTTCATCCTTCCCTTTCTTCCGACAGCCTGCTATATATTCTCTCTTAAACCTCCCTTTCCAACTTCCCTCAAGTAGTCCAAATTAACACCCACTATAATCCAAATATAATAATTGACTTTGATAAATAAATCTGTAAAAGACTCTTTAAAAAAAAAAAACTGCAACATGTTCATTTTATTTATTTTAGGTCTATAGATTTATAGAACCCTATAGAATAGACTGATCCATATTTATTTATTTGTTTATTTACTTATTGATTTACTTTTAATTTTATAGAATGAGTCTGTTTATTTAATTTAATGAATGATTTGGTTGACAAGTTTTATTTTATTTTAAAAATGTCAGTTCGTATCTATCATACTATCTCTATCGATCATTCTGTCATGTTCTGTCATATATTCTATTGTTTATGCATTTATTTACCATTTATTAATTATTTATTTATTATTCATTTTATAGAACATTTGTCTGATCCAGATTTATTTTTTTTTATTTAAAAAAATGTAATTTAGTTATTTTGATGAATGATTGGGTTGACAGATTTATTCTAGTTTAGTTTAGAATTTAAAGTAAATTTTGCACCCTATATTCAGCTGTAGTGTTGTTTTAGTGTGTTACAAAGTAATGACACAACTGAAATTAAATCCTTTTTTTTCTTTCTTCAATCAGTCCTTCTTTTTTGGTCCACCAGTTCTTGTTTTATTTACTGTGTTTCATTTCATACAGTCCTTTATTGTCTATGCTTTATTTTAAACATCATCTGTTTTTTGTGTATGCAGGCATATGATGGCTTTGCCAGTCTGGGAATCTCTCGGCTTTTGGAGCCATCTGACATGGTTCTGCTGGCAATCCCGGATAAGCTGACGGTGATGACATACCTGTATCAGATCCGGGCACATTTCAGCGGTGAGGAACTCAATGTTGTGCAGATCGAAGCCAACAGCAGTTGTAGCACATACAAAGTTGGAGACTTTGAAACGGACACAAACAGTTCTATCGACCAAGACAAGTTCTACGCCGAACTTAACGACATTCACCGTGAGCCCACTAATCAGGGTGCTGCAGCAACCAATGGTGGGCATGGTGTTAAAGAAGAGCAGGAAGTGAAGTCAGTCATGACAAGCGGAGGATCTGGTTCTCTATCCGCCTTCCCAGGGGAAGTTCTAAAAGATGTAGTTCCATCTTTACAGGCATCTACGGCAGACCGTGTCTCTCCAGCAGCACCAACCGTCACTGAACCTCACCCACGACCCACCCAATGCACCAGAACCAGCCTGGAGACCTCCACCAGCCAACCTCCCACTGCAGAACAGAAAAAACTCCTCAAAGCCGATACACTGGACATGGGTGACCCGTCTCACAGGCTGGAGAGAGAAAAGGAGAGCGGGCAGTCGGGTGGGTTGACCGCCACTGACACCAGAGACTCCAGGGAGCAGCACAAGACCCCACGGCCTGGCGAAAGACAAACTGAATCTGGGTCACCCACGTGGCAGACCGGGTCTTCTCTAACAAACACAGATAAACTGGGCTTCACATATAACAGAGACACTGATCTAATCAAGAAGAAGAGAGCGAGTTTGCGCCACTCTGAATCTGACAGCACCTCAGACAGCAGTGCTCAGACCAACCACACACACACACCCGCTAAACTCACACAGGTAAATATCAACACAAGCGTGCTTACATATTCACATAAATCTGAGCAAAATGTTCTATCTGTCTGTCTGTCTGTCTTTCTTTCTTTCTCATTATGAAAATTAATTGGTCAGAAAGTGCGAGAACCCTGTTGAGCAGTCAAAATGACCAAACCAAACAAGCAAACAACATCAAACATACAGTGGGTATAGAAAAGAATCACCCCTTTAAAATAATCACATTTTGTTGCTTTTCAGCGTGAAATGAAGATGGACACAGTTTTTGTTTTATCCAGCTGCATTTACTCGGTGAAACTTATAACATCCAAGTGAAAGATAGAACACCAACATGTCAGAAGTCCTTGTTAGTGCATCTGAAGCGAATAATCAACTATGGGTGGCAAGGCACTGTCAAAAGATCTCCGGAATAAAGTTGTGGACAGGCACAAGTCAGCAGATGGATACAAAAAATTTCAAAGGCTTTATCAATGCTTAGAAGCACAGTGAAGTCTATTATTAAGAAGTGGAAGGTATTTGGTACAACACAGACCCTCCCTGGATCAGGACGTCGCTCCAAACTGGATGAAAGAGCATCTGAAGGAAAGAGCATCAGGAAACTGAAGCAGCTGCAGGAATTCATGACAAAGAGTGATCATTGTGTGCACACAGCAAAACTGAGCACACAGTGGTTGGAGAAACAGGGATCTAGTGGAGACTAGGGGACATGATCTAAGGGATCATGGCCTAGTCAGAGCCCAGACTTAAACCCCACTGAAAATCTGTGGAATGACTTGAAGACTGCAGTCCACAAACGCTCACCATCAAATTTAACTGAACTTGAGCAGTTCTGCAAAGAAGAGTGGGCAAATATTGCAAAGTCTAGATGTGCAAAGTTAGTAGAGACAAATCCCGACAGACTAAAGGCTGTAATTAAAGCAAAAGGGTGGTTCAACAAAATACTGACACAAGGGGGTGATCCTTTTTCCAACTCCGTGATTCTGGTTTTGTCATTTTTTGCTGACATGTTGGTATTATATCTTTCACTTGGATGTTATTAGTTGCACTGAGTAAATATAGCTAAATAAAACAAAAACGGTGTCGGTCTTCATTTCAGGCTGCAAAGCAACAAAATGTGATTATTTTAAAGGGGGGGGGGGGTGATTATTTTCTATACCCACTGTAAATACACACAATTGTAGGTAACAAACACAGGTAACATGCATGTTAAATGAATAATTCCCTCAACACTTCCAACAGAAAACCAGTTACAGCTTAAATGGGAAAAGCTGCCATATAAAATCAAAGCACATAAAACAGTTTGAAGCTTTTTACATGTTTGATATTTTTGCCATTTTGTGAGACGCATGACAGCAGTCGTGTTGTTTTTACACGACTGTTCACAAATTTGGGACCGATAATATTTTTCTCTTAATGTTCGCAACCTTTTGATCAAAAATACAATAATAACAGTAATACTGTGAAATAGTTACAAAATTATATATATATATATATATATATATATATATATATATATATATATATATATGCGTGTGTACTTTATTATTATATATACTTTATTTTTACATTGTAATGTATATATGTGATTTATTCCTGTGATGGCAAAGCTGAATTTTCAGCAGCCATTACTCCGGTCAAATGTGCTCAAGAAACATTTCTTGGTAATACTTTACAATAAGATTCCATTTGTTAAAATTAATTACATTAATTTACATGAACTAACAATGAAAAATACTTGTAAAGCATTTATTAGTTTTAGCTAGTGTTAATTTTAACATTTACTAATGCAATATTAAAATCAAAATTTGTACAGTATCTGTTAATATTATTTATTTGACCTGAGCGAACATGAATTAACAATGAACAGGTGCAGACAGCAGCCGCGAGTCACTCGGAGTGGCATGTCATTATGTACGGGCCGTCCCGCCTGCAGCTCTAATACAGACATGGGTTATAGCGTGTTCCGCATGAGAGCCTCTCCTCATCTATACAGCGTATACACACACACACACACACACACACACACACTTGCAGGTATTGCAGCACAACTTTTATCACACTCTTGCCATGTATCACTGTCATTCCTTCCACTAAATAACTTTCCAGCTTAGATTTGTCCTGATTTTATTTTGACGTCATCAAGGCCTCAGCTGTGACATGAGAGGTGCATTACCATGGCGACAGTTTGCACCACCTTAAGTTTGTTGGTGCTTCATTTGGTTGTTTTACTGAATATGTTGCACAGTGTAGATACCTGTAGATACCTTAACAGTGATCAGGAGCAAAAGTCACTCTATCTCCTCTCAACTGTCAGAATCACCGCCATACCAATCAGCCAATCAGCTGCTTGCTGGAGCCCGTAATGAGAGCGCAAAGCTGATAGCGTTTGGAAGAGATTCTAATCTGACTCGCACAACATATAGGGTGATGGGGCATCCAGAGATTTGTTCTTATGTCATGTTTTTTTTTCCAGGAATTTGTACCCGCCCCAGTGTCTAACACCAGTGAAGAGAAGGTGAAACAGATCATGGTTATACAAAGTGAAACTTGGTTACACTCAAAGTTGAATAAAATCTCTTTCTCTGCATTGCAGAAGGTCCTGTCTCGTCAAGAGGAGCTGAAGGAGAGGGCCAGGCTGCTATTGGAACAGGCCCGTAGAGATGCTGCCATGAAGGCTGGAAACAAAAGCACCACTAATGCACAGTCACCCACACACACTCCACAGATTATTGATGTGAGTTCACACACACACATACACACTTTTGCTTAGATATCGATATTCATAGATTTCTGTTGTTTTTACACGACTGTTCACAAATTTGGGACCGGTAATATTTTTCTCTTAATGTTCGCAACCTTTTGATCAAAAATACAATAATAACAGTAATACTGTGAAATAGTTACAAAATTATATATATATATATATATATATATATATATATATATATATATATATATATGCGTGTGTACTTTATTATTATATATACTTTATTTTTACATTGTAATGTATATATGTGATTTATTCCTGTGATGGCAAAGCTGAATTTTCAGCAGCCATTACTCCGGTCAAATGTGCTCAAGAAACATTTCTTGGTAATACTTTACAATAAGATTCCATTTGTTAAAATTAATTACATTAATTTACATGAACTAACAATGAAAAATACTTGTAAAGCATTTATTAGTTTTAGCTAGTGTTAATTTTAACATTTACTAATGCAATATTAAAATCAAAATTTGTACAGTATCTGTTAATATTATTTATTTGACCTGAGCGAACATGAATTAACAATGAACAGGTGCATTTTTATTAACTAACGTTATCAAAGATTACAGGTTTTTATCACTTGCACGAATTCACTGTGGTTATAATAATAATAATAATAAATGTTAAGCATTTGGCCCAGTCTGCAACGGCCGGCCTTGGTCCGATCAGTGGTTACTCAAATTGGACGTTCAGTCAAAATCAAGCACGTCATCGGAGAGAGTGCAGCATGAGCTAATTGTCAGTAAAAGCTAGATAATGGACTGTAAAAAAAAAAAAAAAAGGAAAGGCGGTGCAGAAAAACTTCAAGAAAGCAAAAAAAGGGTTCTTGCGTCCAATGCTGCCAAATGTGTCAAATTAACCAAACTCTTTTCAAAAGGTTTAAATTCCTTATCGTAGAACCCCCGTATATTTGAAAATGTCATTGCTTTGTGATAATTGGTTACAAGTGTTAGCTAGCCTTTTACTGAATTGCATGACTGAAATATCAGCAGATAAGGTGGGATTTAGGATAAACAGACTGCTGTAGGCTACTTGCAATGTAGTCTAACACATCTAAAACCTATAGCAATAGCCATAGTACTGTAGACATTTGTAATGAACTTTACTTTGAATACATAGCTACTCATATATCAAAATAAAACACTGAATACATTCATACATAGGTTACAGTATGTAATTAATCCTTAGGTAGGGTGGAACATAGGCTTCTATTACAGGCACTCATATACAATAGTTAGATGAGGAATTATAAGCCATTGTCTTACTTATGTTCTCCCTTGTCTGAATCGTGTGGTCATCTATTCAAAACTAGAATGTTGCTGGACCCAGTGCAGACAGCAATGAGAGAGACACACCCTGACACAGATGCTGCCAGTTTCTTAATACTGTGGCTTTAATTGACCATTAATTTAACCCTTAGGATAGGAGGAACCTGTGCATGTGTGTCACACACACACACACACACACAGATCACAATCACACACATACCTTTACTGTATGTGTAAATTTGTTATATAGGCCTACGTGTGCTCTTTAAAAAGTAGTAAGCATTGTTGCCAGTCACATATATTAAATGTTTAAGTATCTGTTAGATACGGTACTGCTTATATTATTTCACCATGTGTACACAATGCACAACTGTAAATCGTGAATGTCCGTGGTAATGTGGGCTTGTGTGGCCAGTCCACCACTGGATATGACAAACTCAAATCCTTCTGTACATGTAAACGTTTTGTATTTTTAGAGTTATTTATTTATTTAGTTTTACTAATTTTCAGTTGTGGATTTCCCCAAAATTCCCAAAAGAGTATTGCTAAGTGCATATACACCTGCATAGTAAGTCCTTACCACTGTTCCCAGCTCCTCTCAGGATGCTCCTTTGTCCTGTCAGACAGGAAGTAATAGAGAGTAATATTATTCTGTAGCCAAGAGCCTGCATGCTAGAGTCTCTCATTTCACACAGGACAGGTCTTTAAGGGTTACTCAAGGACTCCAGGTAGTGATGTAGGAAGTGACCAGTCAGAGAACCTCAAACGCTAAATAAACATGCTCTGCTGAGCTCAGTACTGCAGGATGGCTGACACTTGACGTCGGAAAGCTCAGGCCACATCCGAATAACATTTCAGTTCTCCTCCTGACATCCTGTTTTAGGGGAAGAATAGTGTGAAACGCAGTGGCATAAACATACAGAACCACAGGGGAGGGGTTTTCCGGACATGATGAAATATCTGGCGTGTGGCGGATTTATTCAGACGTTTTGCTGTATGAATTTTTAAAAGGAAATGAGATGCCCTTGAATGAAATGCATAAGAAATCAAAGAACAGGAACAAGAAGGCACCTCAATGTGATGCTGCCCTAAATAAAAAAAATTAAAAAATTTCAAAGAAAAATATTTTCTTTTCTCGTAGTCTCTCTCTCGTGCAAAAGTCCTCTGTGCTCTGATGAAGGGGAGATGGTCCTCGTCCTGTAAATTAACCACAAATTAGCATCAGTGTGTGCGTTCACAATGCCTCCATCCCAAGGACGATGTGCTAATGAGGCTTCGGTGCATTAGCCTGCCGGAATATTGAATTGTTTCACTTTTTAATAGAAAACATTGATCAAAAGGGAGCATGGCTTGGCACGCTGGTAATTGTTAGTGATTTAGATTAGATTAGTTGATGTCTTGGACCAGTCAGAGAACCTCAAACGCTAAATAAACATGCTCTGCTGAGCTCAGTACTGCAGGATGGCTGACACTTGACGTCGGAAAGCTCAGGCCACATCCGAATAACATTTCAGTTCTCCTCCTGACATCCTGTTTTAGGGGAAGAATAGTGTGAAACGCAGTGGCATAAACATACAGAACCACAGGGGAGGGGTTTTCCGGACATGATGAAATATCTGGCGTGTGGCGGATTTATTCAGACGTTTTGCTGTATGAATTTTTAAAAGGAAATGAGATGCCCTTGAATGAAATGCATAAGAAATCAAAGAACAGGAACAAGAAGGCACCTCAATGTGATGCTGCCCTAAATAAAAAAAATTAAAAAATTTCAAAGAAAAATATTTTCTTTTCTCGTAGTCTCTCTCTCGTGCAAAAGTCCTCTGTGCTCTGATGAAGGGGAGATGGTCCTCGTCCTGTAAATTAACCACAAATTAGCATCAGTGTGTGCGTTCACAATGCCTCCATCCCAAGGACGATGTGCTAATGAGGCTTCGGTGCATTAGCCTGCCGGAATATTGAATTGTTTCACTTTTTAATAGAAAACATTGATCAAAAGGGAGCATGGCTTGGCACGCTGGTAATTGTTAGTGATTTAGATTAGATTAGTTGATGTCTTGTTTTGATTAGTAAGCCCTGTTATCTTATCACTGGCCTCTGCATGAAGCTCCTCCACTAAGAAAAGACTTTACGCTTTAGCATGCAGAGGGAATATTTTAATTAAATTAAGACTTGCTCCATTCTTTCAAAGCAGAGATAGAAATGGAGGGGTGAAAGTGAGGATGGATGAGAAAGAGAGAGAGGGAAGTCATTGGGGTGTAGTGAGCTTTTCAGTCGCGCACATGGCATGGGCCGAAATGCTGTGCTTTCTTTTACTGCCAACTGCTAAATGATCCTGACGTTCAGATGAAAGACAGAAAAACAGGGCAGATTTGAATCGTTAATATTCAGTTTGATATTGAGGTATTTACTGTATCTTTAATCAAATAAATGTGACCTTGGTAAGCATAAGAGACTTCTTTCAAAAACATTTAAAAATAGTACCAATGCAATTTTTTTGAACAGTAGTCTATTCATTTTTAAAATATCTTGATTGCTTTTGTACACAGTACAAGCTATAAAGTTTTGCTGTCGGCTGTTGTCTTTTTTTTCCTAAAGCAACTAGCCCTTGTAATATCCTGCCTCAACTTTCAACATGATATAGAAGTTAAACATTTTTTCAAAACATTTCAAGGTTTCTCCATGTTTGCAATATTGTTAGCAGTTAGCATACAGACTTGATTGTGCGTGAGAGTGTGTTGGATGACCAGCGGGCCAGTCATTGTCCTCAGTCAGTGGTGTGTTTCAGTGGGCCCATCGGTGAGCCCACCTCTCTCATCAAGAACTGCTCTGTGTGTGTGTGTGTGTGTTTCTCTTGTTCTTTTACATGCCATGTTAATTGTGCTGCATTGTGCTGCATTGTGCTGCATTGGCTCACTTGCTTTGATCTTTGCCACCACTGTCTGTTTCCCTCTCTCTCTCCCTCTCTTTGTCTCTGCTTCACTTTCTGTCTCCTGCTCTTCTACTCTTTGCTAACTCTGTGTATATGTGTGTGTTTAGGTTTTTGATAGTAGGATTATTTAGTAGTGGTCATTGTACTATGGGTAGTTGGCCTTCACAATCCATTAGGACCAAACCTCTCAGTCGCTCTCGTATTCTTCACCCCCTGGTGAGAGCAAATCGCTAATTAATGAAAAAGTAGAAAAAGCACAGCGGCACAACACCCCTTCATGCTAGTGTACACATACATACATTCTTAAAGGAATGTTCCAGGTTTAAGTTAAGTGCTATTGTCAACATTTGTGGCATAGTGTTGACTACAGCACAATAATTTAATCTCATCCTCAGTTTTTTAAC